AAAAACTGGAGGAGAGGCTGCTCCAGTTTGACTTTATTTATCCTGGTGCCCATCACTGCAGTATCCAAATGACCATCACAGTTTGTCTTAATACAAAAGGTCACACTCAGGGTCCACATGCTGGCAACTGAACTCAGATCCCGAATTTCACTCCATAATTTTAACATTAAGCCCATCCTTCCCACCCATTACTGCTACACTTCTAAGTGATCATCGCTGTCAAGAGAGGACGACGTTAAGAGCAAAACACAGCCATCAGATCAGACCCTGGAGGGACGGGGATGTTAACTGGTCTTACATTTGTTCTCTCATTCTGGTTAACATATTTACTGTATTTCTCATTTTCAGCTCTCTAACTTCAGCTAAGATATTCAGTCCAGCCTGCTTCCTTTTCAAGGTACCATCAGTCAAATCCAACCACATCATTTTATCTCTCTGTTACTAAATTCAAGCCATTTTAAACATCCTGCTTTCATCTTTATAGCGCGCTCTCACTTTTTAACCATGCTGCAGTTACAGAAGAATGTACTTGACATATAAAATGTGCGTGCGATTCCTTTAACATTTTAATGCCGTGTATTGTGTTGTAAACATCTCTTCATGTTTTATCTCCTTCTCCATAAATCAGAGACTAGTATCTTAGAAGTCTCAAAAATGACATGTTTTCTCCATAATATAAATGTAAGACTCTACTCCTTGAAATTTGAGTCAGCTTTCAAAAATCATCAAAAACCAGAGCTAAGAAAAAGCAAAATATTATCAACTAACTTAATATCATTTTCTCCCACTTCATTTCTATGACAGCTAAGTATAGTATGGGAAAAAAAAAAGTTACAAAATTGGTCTTCACCAATCAGAAAACCAATGTTTTGATTATTCTTTTTGCCACTTGTAAGGAACAACACGAAGGTAAAATACCTTGTGTATCCATACCAACATACAACACAGAGTCAGGAAAGTGGACAGTAGAAAAAAGTGATATGCTAGGAATAATTATTTGTTTTATTCAAGATTAACACACAACTTTTACAAGATGAAACCCCAGAACTTATTTCCATTTCCTTACCATAACTGCAATTAATAAGACCAATCTCCTATAATGAGGTTTTCTGGTGGTTTTGGCTAGCTAAGTAGCTGTTACAATAAAAATGTGTCTCAGTCTATTCCTTGGTAAATGCATTAAGTGATTTTTTTTTTTTTAATTAAAAACCACTGTAAAATATTGATTATTTTGAAAAGGTAGAACATCAATAATGAACACCTGTCCAAAAGAATTTTAAGTTATTTCAATGATGGAAAAAAGAAAGAGCGCCATTAGAAAAAGAGAAAAAAAAAAAAAAAAGAGGAAAGCAGTTTTAGCAGGTGGGACTGAAAAGTGGTGACATGTTGTAGTACAATACCGAAGGGCTGAAGGATATAACGCAGTGTTGCGTGACAGGGAAGAGAACCAGGGACCACGGGATTAGCGTGCCACTAAAATGCTAGATTAGGTGCGAACTACAACTCTGAAGTATTGTGATACCGAGGAGTGAGGCAGAGGCAGAACTGCTGGTAGAGGACAAGAGAACTAAACCACTGTCTTTGCTTTGGCACCTTCCAGCAGGAGTTTACTCCCTTATAGCCCACAGACCCAAACACACACTACAGGAAAACCCAAGGACCCTCCGATATTTATCCAGATCCCCAGGATTCATAACATTTTTGACCAGCTTGAGAGATTCTTTTTCTCTCCAACTACTGTCTAACATAAATTATTCCAAGATACTTTTCTTGACATTTTCTACACAAATGTTTCTAGAATGACCTTGCTGTAGAACACGCACCACGCTTCCCCCTAATGCAAGCCCACGCTCAAGTACTTTTTCCTCTCTATTTTCCAGGATATTTTCAAACACAACTTTTTCACTGTCATTTTGAAAAAAAAAAAAAAAAAAAAAAAAAAAGCCATCAGCTTCTTAAAAATAATTATCCAATTTCACAGAATTGTCAAAAATACGTTATTTCTACTTGCATCGGAAAGCACAACTAGAATTTAGAGTTCACAGGTTGTGAAACTTGTTTGTAAATACATGCCTTTGGTTGATAAATCTCCAGATTGTGCTTCTATAAACATTGGAAAAATAAAATGTTGCCAACTCCCATCATTTTTTTATTATTGCTTTCTTGTTAAAGGCAGTGAAAGTGGGGCAAGAACCTCCACTCTGGCAAATTTTTGTAACGTTCTAGCTCTTGCGGTTAGGAAAAAACCATTTAAAGAACGACATACAGCCATCTGAAATCAAGAGAGCAAGATAATTAAAAGATTATTTTAAACCAACTTTGTAAAGAAAGAAAACATGACTTCTTGGTCTCTGTGCATTAAACATAGTCCTGGCTCCCTCTCCACTAGTTAATTCAACTTAATTCAATGGGGGTAACCTGGCCTCAGCTCCTACCAGATTGCCAAAATGGAGTGATTGAGAGAAGGAAAAAAAAACCCAAACCACAGAATTTGAACAGTTAAAAGTTTGTATCAATACTTCCACAAACATTACAGAATCTCTATTACATTTTCACAGGACCAGGCTCCTCACATCCTGTCTTAAATCACAAGGAAGAATCTTACACAATCGACACTTTACCTTCCCATGACATACTTGAGGACTGTAAATCATGAACACAGATTTATCAGGGAAATGAGGAGTGGGAAAGACTACTTGCCCTTAAAGATGTACAGATTTATAGCAATATGGGAAGCGGAAAGACGGTTATCATATAAAAAGGTCCTTAAGGGATAGCAAGGAGCAACAAGGGAAACATGAGTCATGAGCTGCCAGAGAAGAGGATGCGTATGGGGAGCGATGGACAGAGCGAAGTAGCAATAAAGGAAGTTCCAAGTCAAACGTGCTCCTTCCCAAAGGTTGAGACAGATACCCAAGCTTGCAGTATTTATCAAAAATTAAATTCCCAGCCAATTCAGACACTGCATCAACAGCAACATCGGGAAGGGACACTTGTCGACTGAAAGGATCCATTGATAACCAAAGTCGTAGATCACAGCTCTGCTCTTTTGCTTTGTTACCAACTCTGCCGCTTTGTTTTCCTTCATAAGGGCAGTTGCCTTGAAGGTCTGTCCATGTAGGCAAGCGGCTCAACATGAACGAGTGTGCAAACTTAAAGCAGTCAGCTGAGATTGTGAAAGACTGTTTTATACTTTGCGGGGCTGGAGTAAGCCTCTCTACTTAAGGACATATCAACAGCTGTTACTATGGTGAGACAGCAGCAAGTAAATAGCGAATTACCAGCCCAAGCACAAAGTTATTGCACTCCTAACTTTCCTCTCCCAGCCCAGCAAGCCTCAGAAGTGTCAAACTCCAAATTATGGCACAGGATTCCTGCTACTCCCAAGTATCTCAAAGCAAGATTTTAAAAAGTGACTTCCAAGAGTTTAAAAAGTGACTGCTTTTGAGACAAAATACAACTCTGAGCAATACATGGAAGCTGAAGACAAAGAAAACCAGTTACTTGTGTGAATATCATCTCTAGGAAGATTTATCACAATCTCAAGACATACAAGTTACACAGGAGTCTCTAAACAAGAAATAACTAATTCGCCTCTTAGTCCAGTAGCATCTACATCAAAGGTGAAAGTAAATATGACAGTAAACATTTCAAAGGATTGATAAGTCACAAAATGAATTTTTAATATTAAAAAAACCTGTAGTAAGGAAAAAAGGGAAGAAAAAAGCGTACCTCTAAAATTGTATCACAACCAAGAAAGCTTCACCTTAGCTATGACAGCTTTTCTACCCAGACTTTGTGTGAAAAACACGTACATAATAACCAAACGTATACTTCAGAAAATAGCGTGACTTTCTTAAAATTATTTTTCAATAAACAGCTAAGTGTTTTCAAGTTAGGTAGGCTACCTAAATATTTCCAAGCAACTAAAAATCATCCAGCATCCTTCCTATTTTGCACAGAAAACAGATGTAAAGTTATCTGCCTACCCCAATTTTAAGCTCAATGAAAACAAACAGTAAAACCTGTACTTAGTTCAGTCTGAGCAAGGTGTGTGCTCATGGGTGCAACCTCAAAAAGCACATTGGGTGCCTACAGCTAAGTTGTTCTAAGATGCAAACATCAAAGACTCCAACACAATCAAGGTGACTCCAGGATGTAGCTCACAGGAAACCTCCATGTCCTGTTCCATTAGCAGTGTCCCAGGACTCAGCCCCCCCATCTCCCAAGTGATTGCTGAAACCATAAAGTGCTATCAAAGGTGGCACTGCTACTGCTGCTACTACGCTTTGTAACTCCATTTAACACCACAAGTGTCACCCATTCAGTAGTTAGGCTCTCCTTTGGGACTTAGGAAGAGCCCAACAGCAACTTTCCTTTACAGCTGGATTGCAAGAGAGCTGAGAGATCAGCATCAAGCTCCACGGGCACATTCCCATGTGCAAGGAAGCTCAAGTTCAGGTACCTGGGACATGTCCGGCATGAAGCATCTACCACATGACTGAGTCTTCCAGTATGTTTTATAGATGCATGGGATTCCCTGATTCCAGCCTGAACAGAGGCACACAAACCCCACCAAAGTCCCACCCATTTAGAAAGGTGCTCTGAGCCATTCTTTAGACAGATCCGACAAGGTCATCCAATAACGCAACCGAGAAAACCAGGCTTGTAAGGCTGGAGCCCCTACGGCTATTCTTAAACTCCAATTACACACTTCTTCCTATGTCATTTGCAGTGACCCAGGTTGGTATTATCAAGATAAACATTATTATTGGAAGGCTTAAAACCTCATCAACTCCATTCTGAATAAACACACTGTGCCTAGCAACTATACTTTCATTCGCAGGCATATATTCCTTCCGCTGTGCCAGTTTTAGAGGCTTGGAGCTCACGCGGCAGCTGAAGGCACAGCACTCCCAGCCATCCATTTACACTCCTTGGCAGCGTTTCAGAAGCCAGGACACCACCAGTTTGCAGTACAGATGAAGAGATGGACTGACCTGATTGATGGAGTTGGCAGCACAGGACGCCAGTCCAGTTCCGAGGGAGGCAAGCAGGAAACAGGTCAGGTCAAAAGGGACCGGGGCCATGGCAAAGCCAGCAGACGCGGTGCTTACAACCAGAGCTGCAACACAAGCGAGAGAACAGTTCAAGGCACCAACAAGAAACCATCTCCTTTCTACATACCACTAGAGTTAAGGTTTCTAAACCCTGTAAGAACCCTTGTGCAGATTAACTTTTTACTACTTTTATGGTTCAACATAGCTCTAGGAACTGCGTACAATTAATACTCAACATAAAGAAGTCAAAGATGAGAAGGAGAGCTGTCAGGGATGAAATGAGAAGCCCAGAAGCATCAGCACATTAATCGGTGAGACTAAAACTTATGCCTGAATTCCCTGTTTTATGAAATTGCTACAGGATCAAACTGCCTCACACAACACGTATGTGAGATACATTTGTTCCAGTAACTCAAATGTCATTGCAAAGTCTAACATGGAAGAAAAACAGTAAAAAAAAAATCCTGAACAGAAAGATATGCATGATATCAAATCATAGCAGGAATTCAAACAGTGCAGAAAGTCAAAGAGAGACTGTACGGCAAGCAAAGTCGGTAATGTCACTGTGCAAGTATTTGCCCACACTGTTCCCGTTTGAGGTGCCCGCTTCAGGCGGAAGGTACAATCACATCATCACATGGGCCCAGCAACATTTAAAGGCCTCAAAATTTGAGTAGATTAATAAAAAAATCCATTTCAGTTTTGTCATCCAAAATTATAACTTTAGTACAGTACTGCAAATCACATCCTTAAAATGAAAGTTACCCAAGTCTCAATCCTAATATTGTAATTACCCAAATAATAGGTCTTACGGACCTCACTTTTGGCAAGAAATAATATGACATGAAAAATTTCTTATACTGTAAAAGTCAGCACATTCACTGAATATCTTGCTTATGGCCTTGAACCTTACAATCTTAAATTAATAGTTATTAAACAGAAAGTATTTAAATAATATCTTGCATCTAACTACATATTCCAGACCTCAGCTAGCTCAAATCAAAGAATCAAAATGTTTTATCTTCCTGATTCCTACAGTCTCCTGTGTGTCTGAAGTTAAATGGCAAATAAATAACTTTTGCTGACTGAAAATACCTGGATTATCTACCAAGCAGCATTACTTGAGATGAAAAACTAAGTGGCATGGCAGAGACCTGCCAGCGAGGATGCACATGCAAAGTGCTAATTTTAAGAACCGTGCCTGCCTAAGAACCTTAGGATTTAATCCTAAGAAGTCAGTGAAGAAAACTTGCTGCTCATCAAAACTTTCCTCTTAGGTATTAAAATCTATTGGCAGCTGAATATTATTAGAATAATGTGCATAATAGTATTATATTATTAACACCAATTATCTGGCCCTGTTACGGATCTACAGGACGCACAGGCTGGCTGCGAGCACGCTGCATCCGTGGCTCTGCCCAATACCAGGGTAAGGCCCTGGCTTTGATTCCCCATGACAGCATCACTGAGGGCAGTGCTGGGCTCTCACCGCAGCCCCTTCAGCTACTTCTAAACCAGAATGAATCTATGATGGAGCCTTACTCCCCTGAGAAGCTGCCAAATAACCACAGATTCTCTAGCCCCACTGGACAGACACATGGGTACTGGTAATTTCTGCAAGACTGGACCCTGTTTATTATATAAATACAACAGCATCTTGGTTTCAAAACTCGCAGATCCTTCTTAGCACAGCACACAAGAAAATTTGAAATGCATTGGTTTACAACTGATAAGGAGTTAAAAAAATGCTGAAAAGATGATGGTGAAACAGCGGCGTTTGCATTTCTAAGAGTGATTACATTCATCTTTTTGCATAATAAATCACACATCCACTTCTAGACAAGAATTTAATTAAAACTTATCTTAGAGAGCACTTTACACCAATTTATTATGAGAAAACACCAACTCATTTACGGAAGAAGAAAGGTGGAGCAGACTGGCAAACAGTCACTGTAACATTACCATTACATTGACCTCAAAGAAATTCTAATACTGTACAGCTACAGCACTAATTAAAGTCCCCATTGATTTCGCCAGATTAATTTCAGCCAGTCATTTCAGTGTGACTTATCAGGATCTCATTAAAAAAGGTTGTAGTATATCCTCTCACTTATCCCATTGAAACGGGTATTTTTAGTTGTTTGGACTGTGCTCGGAACACAAGGCATTCCCTGCTTGTCTCATTGCCCAGCAATTCAAATGCAACACATTAAGACTAAATAAGAAAACGTTCCCTTTGGATTGGGAAGTTTATTTTCTTTTACTGTGGAAGGAATAATTTACTTTTCTACTTTCCTCATGGAGGAAAAGTATATTTAATTGAGAGCACATCAAGGGAATGAGGTAATTGACTCTATTTGTTTTTTAATCCCTGTTAGCTTAGTGCTTTAGGGGCCAAATTAACTTCACCTTAGTGCATAATAGATGGAATTGATCCTTTCAAGATTTGTTGATGAGAGTTGGCATTATATATGCTCTTCAAAAAGAAGCAACGATTTAAACTTATGATCTCAGCCTAAACCTAATTTTCAGTCTTTTAAACATCTTTAGCTTTACAAAAATTAACAAGGGACATTTGTCTCCAATTTCAATGTAAATGAAAAAGAAAATGTGAATGGATTGGTGACAAAGAGAGTGAATTATGATGTTTCTAGCATAAAACCACATTCAGAAAGTCTACAGTGTACAGTATTCTTTACATTCCTCTTCAGCTTCATTGTAACGTGATCTGCCTTTAGAAATCCCTCTATTTGTATTTATAGCATGTGAATCACTATGCCATATTTTGTTTACCTCCTATTAAAAAGTAGCCAAGCCAAAATAAAAGCATAGAAAGCCAAAGCTCACCAATTCAGCTTTAGATTTCCTTTCTACTCCTGTACTGATGATATATCAGTGCATTTGGAAGGACAAAAGCAAATGCATTTCTACTTTAAGAAATAATTTCACTGTTCTACTACAAATACTCCTTAAAGGAAACCAGCATTGTAAAAGCTGATGGCATTTTCTTTCCAGAGTTTTCACACTTTGGAAAGCTAAATGTAGCATCAGTATTAGTGCTATACACCTGACCAACGTTTCCTTTATAAATTTAGATTTCTTTGGGTGTAGGCATATCTAAGTTTTGTTGCAGATTATAACCCGCACACTAAAGAAGGTCAAACTCCTGAAGCAAACTTAAAATTGGGACAATAATTTGACACAATTCTTGCATCACATCATATAAAATTCAAGTGCAATATTACGAACAGAGCAGATAATCTCTTTTTACCATCAAACAATTTTAAAAATGCTTTGCAAAAAATAAACTGTAATAATAGTTTGTTTTTATTTCATTAGTTTTCCTTATAGCATGGAAAACAAATTGCCAGAAAGCTACCACTATTAAGCTTTGTTTCTTTGATAGGATAATAGTCGCTGTTTTAATAATCATGAGAACTACTTTGACAGGCGTATGAAATATATTTAGAACTGAGAATAAACATAGACCAGTAATAATCTAAACAATATATACCCATAAATCTTTGACAAAGTTTCCAGCTATATTAAAGCTACCATTTAAAGAATAAATGCCATAATAAATGCCACTATTCCAAAATAAAGTGGAAACTTACTGGAACTCCATTGAGGCAAATTTTTTTTTTTTTTTTACTAGAGTGGCTGTTACCAGATTTTTACCCTACGAACACAACATAGGCACCTTATTAATCACTGTTGCTCCATTACGTAGCAGTTTGGTAACACTGAAGAGTCATTATGCAAAGCTGGACAGCCATCATCTGCATTTTACAAATATGTACCAGACACACAGATGAAGCGGGATGTTCATCACCATGTCACAAGTATCTCAGGCTTCTGATTTCCAGTTCAACACTTTTGTGCTAGAGGATCGCCAATGCACAGACACAAATTCATATGTAAGCAATACAGCCAACCAATTCCAGCTGTTTTCTAGTAAACAAGATAGGATTATTTTCTTAAAGGGGGACATTTGACAAAAAAGGCTCTATTTTAGTCTCCAAAATTGAAAATGCTCATAAATGATCTTATTTGTCCCTTTTGCAAATCTTAAATGTAGGTCAGTAAGTCCATGACATAGAAACCACGCACAATGTTGTAGCTGGTAGTCTTTACTCCTAGCTTTTTGCCTAACATTGTCTAGCAACAACACAGAGTAATTCAGATTGGAAGGGATCTCAGGTGGTCATCAAGTCCAACCTCCTGCTCAAAGCAGGGTCAATGCTGAATCCAGGCCAGTTCCCTTAGGGCTTTGACATCTCCAAGGATGGAATTTTCACACCATCTCTGGGCAACCTGCACCAAAGTTTGACTGTCCTCAAGGCGAAATTTTTTTTTTTTGTCTTATGTCAAGCCAGAACTTCCTGTTTCAATTTATTAAGCATGTTTTCTCTGTGCCAGGATTTACATATTTTAAAAAAAGATTTGAAAACCAAAGCATAAATGCTTCCAAATCTGTCTTTAAAAGAATTTTGGCACCTGATTGGAAAATGTCCACATCCTCTTGCCTGTGGAAGGAGCTATTAATGATCAGATTGCATCAAAATGATATGTAAATCTTTACCTTAAAAACAAACATAAAACAAATTTATAGGCCCCCTCAGAGAACTGATTAGATTGGTCTTGTGATTCTGTCCATACCATGCACGTTACACTTTGACAAGGAAAAAGCACAATAGGTTTAATTCTGATCTGACCACAGTAAACCCTGGAATGACTATTAAAGATGACTAATTACTCCAGATTTACAGAGGTGTGAACACCTCAGGCTGGCCTGTTTTAGCTCTTAAGGTATAGACCATGACAAAACCAGAGGTAATTTACTGTCAACTCTTCTTACATAATACTAATAGGATACTGTGTTGAACTCTCCGAGAGCTAGACATAACCAAACAACATCTCACATCCTCAGTGAAGGAAACACAGCAAAATATAAGCTTACTTTGAGAAAGTTTCCAGATTTCTTAGTATTTTGAGAAATAGTAACATACTTAAAGTGAAGCAAAGGTTTCTGTTGGAGAGACAGAGGCACTTTTCAGCAGTAAGGGCAGTAACTGCCGCAGACCACCCAGGGAAGCTGTATACTCCCTGACTGGTTTTAGGAATGGACAAAGCAACATCAAGTCAGCAATGATATACCTAAAGGCGATCCTGACTTAAGAGAAAAGAGATTAGAAGTGTCCCTTTGAGGTCCCTGTGATTCCACATGGATACTGCACACACTGAACCAAAGCAAGATACCAAGTGCAGAGGCCGCTCTGGTGAGATCTGAAACAGACTTCAGTAATCAGTACAGAAAAGCAACATTCATCGTGCTTTAATGGATTGACTATTAAAATGTACCCTGAAGAAAATAATGCCAAAACTCTAAAACTCCTTTTAAGAGTTAGAAGGTAAAAGGGCCTTGCAATGAGGTGCCATAAAAGAATATAAAGACTTCGGAGGAGACTTTGCATATGATCTCTGGGTAAACAGCAAGCAGTTAATACACAATTGTAAAAAAAAAAATTAGACAAATTAATATGCTTGTGACCACAAATAAAATTATTAACTGTAGTATATTAAAACACAGGATAAAGAAAAGGTAGATAAATGTTTGAAACATACAGGCTCTCATAAGACTTTCCAAAGGAGATCCATGTTACAGTAGCCTGGAATCAGGACTCAACTCTTCCAGGCACAGCAGAGAGAGATATGCTAAAGACAAAGTCCCTTCCTCAGTGTGCTTGTAAATTAGATTAAAAAAATTCTACAGCTGTTTAGAAATTAGCAGTTAAGTCTACATCTGACCCATGCTGATATACCCACTTCTCAGGCAGGTGCTACACATCTAGCTGGTTGTCCTCACCAGAAGACCAGCATGCAAGGCATCCTTTGCTACAGGAGCAACAACGAGAAAATGTTCAGAAACCATAGAGAAATTATCTAATGAGAATACTCAGCATTTTTCATACTGTGCCTTCATCCCACCTCCCCCAAATTAAAGACTGAAGTTTAATTTTCCTGTGTTTTTGCACGTAGCTTATCTTAGTTTTCATCTGTGATCACGAGGGAAAACATTACTTAAATGTAAACTTGAAGTTAAATTTAAGAAGATGAGACAACCTGAAATTCTTAACGCGTCTGCATTATAAATTAATAGAATTTCCTATTACCATACTGTCACATCTCCCTCTCTCGTATTTTCAGCTACACATGAACTTTAGGATAAAGTTGAAAACATGGACACTTATAATTCTGAAAAGTTATCAGACAGATGTGTCAGCTTTCCAAGTGCTTAGATGGTAAGGCACAGCTGTTCAGAGAGCAGCCAACACAAGAGTACCACCGAGAAGGGAAAGGATGGAAACTGAACCCAAAAAGGTAGATTATGCGGCAAGTAATTACAAGTCCCCTAATTGTTTTCTACGGCAAAAGAATATAAACAAAAATCTTTTCCTGTTGGTAAGGCAGAGCTTCTAATGGCAGAGTCACAAGAGCTGCAGTTTACACGAAGCAGGAGAATATGGTAATAACTAAACTCATTTCCTTTCAAAGGTGAATTACAGTTCAGAATACAAACAAACATTCTCTTTACTTCAGCGGCAGGAGAAGAAGAGGGGATAAGGAAGTCCCATTTTAGCATAATGCAGAGTTTGTTTTTTTGTTATTTCATACTCTAAAGAGTATAAATAAAGAGTCTGCCAAAAAACCCCACACAGGATATGAGATCTATCAGAACTTCAGGGGTGAAAGGAATCGAGTTGTGTGTCATTTGTAACTTAAAAACTGACCTCAGAGAATTTATTTTTCTTTTAAAAAAATAAAATCAAAGAACTACACCACCATATTCTCTACAGAATATATAATTTGTCTAAATGATTACGCAAGTTGGAAAAAAGTGAAATTTTCTTTCCTTGCTCCACACACTACACCCAATATTTTTCCTGCTCCTGCACCATCCTATCACCAATAAAGGCCAACAACACAAAACCCTCTTCATCCAACTTACTCTTTTACACTTTCTACTTCCAAAAAAATCTCCCCACCCCAGACCATCTTCCCCACCAAATACACAAAGATTACAACAAGACAAGAGACTAAGGTTTTTTTCTATTTATACCTTCTCAACAGGTACACAGTTTACTACGCTTACCCTGGATCAAGAACAGCGCACCTCAAAATGCAGACTCATACAAAACAAGAGACAACCATGAAGCAAATGAAATTCTGTAACCTTTGCCTTCTACAGGTTTCAAAGAACACCCTATTTTAAAATCAGAGTGGTACTTTCCTGCCTGCCAATACTGCCTTCTGCATTTAAAAAAAGTCCACTAGAAGCTGTTGAAAAGTTTGGCAGCAACAGCAAGGCCACACGACAAAAGTTATCACATTTATTTCCTCCAGAAAGACACTCTTCCATCCAGCTGTAGCTCTTGAAACTCCCATTTTGAGGAGCATCAGTAATACTCTGATGTGGTACTAACACTGAGCTTACGCCTCCGGAATATCTGCAACAGCAGTTCTGAATCTATTGAGATTTTTGAATTTAATTCTACTTCAGTAACTAGCACAGCTTTCAGGTTCACATAAAAGAGCCACTTAAATAAAATCACCTCATTGAAAATATGCCAGAAGAGCTAACTGTTGATATAGTGCTTAAGGTATCCATGGTGAGCCCAACATAAACAAAATATTACTAAAACTGAACAGCATGGGGGAGAAAAAGGCAAGACCTGTACTATGCAGAAGGAAAGAAGAGGCAATAGTTGAATGTGCCACAAAGCTGTTGCACATATGAAGTACAACAATCCTGATAACTGCTGAATGTGTCAGTAAGAGTTTTATATACCTAAACTTGAAATTACCAAGGTTCACACGTTAAAGGGACATGGTAAGGTACCAAAAGACATGTTTTTCATCCCTCAGGTCTACTAATGCAACTCTACCATCACAAAATAAAGGCCTTGAGGTTTTTTAAAAATAACAAGGAAGAACATTTGGACATACAGACAAGACCAGTTTTGCCGAGCCCGAAACATGGGATGTCTCATGAACACTGAGAACTAGAAGGCTTTTTATTAGAGAAGAATTTCAATGACCACTGTACGTGGTCAGTACAATTTTTCCATGGAGAAACTGTACGTGGTCAGTACAATTTTTCCATGGAGAAACAAACAATGAAAACTTATATACTGCAAGACAAAGTTTCAAAAAGTAAGCTGAGTTTAGGATTTTTATTATAACATATTGTTATGGTGAAGAACAACAGTTTTATTATCAAGAAAATATTTCACCCACTGGAGAGAGCACAACAGTAGGGACTTAGGAAATTATATTTCTGCTCTTGGCGCTGATGAGACAAGACGTAAGGCTTTGGTCAGATCATTAGATTTTCCTTAGACGTCAAAGTGTACATAGCACTACCTCTTGGCAAAGAAGTAATTTATAGTTGTTAAGTATTACTATTAGAACAAGGGAAAATGTAGGAAGGCTACAAGGCAATAGCTTAGCAAACTGCTGGTTTGAAGGCACAACGCTATCATTGACTAGAAAAGTAAATTATACCTTATTTTAGAAAATTTAATTGGTCACACTCATTTTCCTTTATAAGATAATAAATTATTATTCTTTTGTTGGTACTTCTAATACTAATTTCACAATAAGCAGTACTAAAGTGAAAGATTGTAAACTTTTTTAAATACTTAATACAATGCTTGTGAATTGAATTCCTAACCCAGTTTCACCATATTTTTTGTACCAATACTTGCTTGCTTATGATTCCCAAAAGCTAGCTGACAACACAACACAAGCTCCTCCTCAGTGTTTTTAAACAAATTTAATGGGAAAACTATTAAATACTTTCATAAAACAGTTTTTCCCTGCACACATTTGATGGAATTGACGGAGGTACTTTCTGTCAGTGAAGTGGGAATTAGCACACAAAAACCTACACAGTACCAGTAATATGCTAAAGAACTCTGCTATCAAACAGGATGCACAGAAGTGAAAAAATGACCAGTAGTACCTGTAAGCTTAATTTTGGACAAGCGTGCCAAAATTCCCGGCAAGTCATCAAGCCGTAGCTTCATTTCTTTCCATTGCTTGTGGTCTTTGGATTCTGCTTTTACTGGTGTGACTGAGTCTTCAGTTTTTGCAGCTGACTTCATTTGTCTCAACGCATTTCTGCTTGGCGTCTCAGACAAAGGTTGATGAACAGGTAAAACGGGTCTAATCTTGTGTATAACCTTTTTTTCTTGATCAAATTGCTGAAGCTCACAAAAAGGGGATGCAACTGAATCTGACTTCGGTTTGGCTCGCTGACTGAGGTCTTTGTTGTATTGTGTTACATACTAAATAGAATGAGAAATGTTAAGATGAATAGTTAAGAAGATATTTCTGTCCATTTCAGGTTATTAACAACATCAATTATATTGCTATATTATTACTTCCCATGATGACATGACTGAGTTAGCCTGAATTTCAAACACTTACTTCACATGCAAAACAGTTTCTGAAGTTGGAAAAGATATTACAACGGCACCTTTTCATTTCAAAACTGCATCAATGATGTTTACTGAAGCTTGAGAATTACTTCTGCATAAAACTATTTCCTCTCTTATAGTTTCAACAGCAAACTCTACTTTATTCATATTCAAAACTACCAGATAATATCATTTGATTCACCTTTAAACAATGAGGGACAGACAGGCCCGTAACAACTCCAGTCTCCAAATAAGCACTAAACTTTTTCTATATTTAAGATATGAAAAAAAATCAGAAAAATGCCAAAAAATACCACTATCTCCTATGATATAAAATCATCACCCACATTAGGCTATTACTATTTATCCCAAACCTTATGCTAGGCTTAACAATTTTCAACAGAAGTTAAAATGAACATACACCAAACGGGAAGTCAGGAGACAGTTGTTTCCTCTCTATCAGAACTCTTACAGGATAAAACAGAATAAGAGAGAGAGCATTTAGCTTCTCCTATCTATTTTCTTTCCCAAAATGTTCCATATATTTCAAGCACAAGAGACAAGGATAAAAAGACTGAGCTTTTAACTAATCATGGTTTAAAGTACACATTAATAATTCTAATGAGTAATAGGGATCTGAAGCTTTTCAACTCTGAATGAGCAACATGAATACAGCTAAAATCAACAGGAAAAAAAAAAAAAAAAAAAAAAAAAAAAAGGCATTTGAGAAGTGCCGGTGATCCCCAGAAGCGTGGAAGAGACCCCCATCCCTTGCTTCATACAGGACTGAAGCTCAAAAAAACCCCAACAGATGCCCATGCTTCTTACAGCCAAAGCAGTCATTAGCTGTAAGACTTAGTCTTATCTGTATTTCATAGACACAGCTCCAAAGTACAATGAACAGGACAGAACTCAGGGAAGAGCAAAATACATCTTTTACTACCGCTCTCTTAGATGTGATACAATGTTCAAAGAGGAAGATAAAATTTCATAGGTTTGAGTGATAATTGTGGCTCTTTTAATACCCCAAACTAACAGCCTACTACAGAATGCAACACACTAGTTAACAAGCTCAGGAGTTTTGATTCAAATTAACTGATTAACTCTTCAGTCAAAACACACTACCTCCACAAGTGAGTTTTGTCACTTTTATGAAATGTAGCCAATATCTGATTTGCTTATTCGCATTTTAACAAATAATAACTTTGAAAATAATTTCATTTAACATTTTTCAATAGGAGACGAGTGCTCCACTTCAAAGGCACAGGAAAACACCCCAACAGGTAGAGGACTCGCTGCAGCAGAAGGCATTGTCCTTGCCACAGTGGGTTTCCTCCAACCTCAAATGTTTAGATCCCAAGTGCTTAACTCTGATGCAATGCAGAAAAGGAGACGCCTGGAATTGCCCGACCTTGATAGATATGAAAAATACTACTTTTACCAACTAATCCCCATTTGGACTCATCACATGGGACAAAACAAATTAAAGAATGAGAAACATGGGATAAATAGATCCCCTGACTTACCATTCGTTTAAGAAAGTTAAAGTACTGAAACGTAATCAATCTGTCATTGGCTACGCGGCATAGATGCACAAACTGGCATGGTATCTGCCGTATTCCAGTGTTCTTCAGATGCCAGACAAATAATCCTACTTAAAGAAAAAACGAGAACATTAGATTCCAGTTCCTTCTCTGCCACTGAGTTTGCTTCTAATTCAGACTACAACGTCTATTCCCAGCTGTGACACAAGACACCCCGCAAATGGGAGCCAGGGCCACTTGGGCGGCGAGGAACATCTTTGTAAGCTCCAGGCAAAAGAACTGAAAGCGTAGGCTTGCCCAGGTGGTTTGGGGGTTTTCTTCCAAATCTCCCAGCTCCCTAGAGATGCATTATTAGTTTCTTGTTCAGCGACTATCTCTACATGCTATAAATAAAGTTATCTTCCCAAAACGGCACAAGGAGGGCTGGAAGGAAGCAGCTGGCATAGGGCAGCACCAAAGCCAACCGCATCAAGGGGAGGCCCCTGTGTGACATTAACACCTACATCCCCATGCAGAGGGACACACACGGAGACACACAAGCTCTGTGCATCACTATACAGAGCAGCCCCAGGCACTACTCGCAGCCCCACGGTCGGCCCTGCCCGGCCCCGGCCCTGCCCGCCCCACCGGCC